TGCTGAAATGGCCATAAACTAATGTTTTCGGGCATGCGAACCCAAGTGTGAAATTTCAGCAAACTTACACATATTATAATTTAAATGTCAAGAACTACTACAGTCGACATACAGTGCCCGACAAAAGTTATAATAATATAGAAAAATCAGACGATATGGTGGCCTCGCTTCGCTCGCAAATTAATATTTTCTCTCCTCTCTGTTGCAGGGGGAATTGATATTGCCCAGTCAAGGTGTTAAAAATAATCGATCAAGGTGTCAACATGTGTAAAAGGAATGCACCTCGTGATCAATTAAGATTGTAGTGTTCTTCCATCCTTTGTAAGAGTTACTATAATGATGACGAGAGAGAGTCGATGGACTAAGCTTGCCCAAAATATAATAGGGTGTATAAAAGACTGAGCTTGCCCCAAAAATATTTAAAAAGCAAGGGATGGAAGGTGTCAACTGTGTAAAGATTACCTCTATTTTCTTCCATCTATATTCTCTCTTTGTAAGAGTTATATACTACAGTGTGCCTTTGCGGTGTAACCACCCTTTGTTTCTTTCCTTTTTTGGTGTTTTGCTAAACCATCTCTAGCTATATCCCACCTAATGATGGTGTCACAATGTGGAGGAAAAGCTTTCTCTCCTTTATCTTCCTGTTTATTAACCCTCGGCGCGCATGCGCAGCCAGGGTTACAGTAGTTGGTCTGTCTGTGTGCCGATGCATATTCTGGCACTACAGGCTACGAGGCGGCCAATTAGCGATACCAGCGGCTTCAGAACCACGCGAGCCTGAAAAAGAAAAGGGCAATTTTCCTGAAACGACTGTGTTCGAGAGATATGCCGTGAAAACAAGCGAAAAAGCCAATATGCATAATCGCACTGGGCCTACCGCGACCTGATCTGCTCGCTCTGTGTACTTTGGAAGTCACAACGAATGGCATGTATCGACTCCCGCATGCTATCTACTAGTGTCAGCACTCTCCGCGAGCTACTAGCGGGAGAGCAGGAGTAAAAGCATACAAATAAATATCCCAGCCCATCAATTAGCAGTATCGTGCATGCGCAGTTCGCCAAGGGTTTGCACTAAACCCTCGGCGCGCATGCGCAGCGAGGGTTACGGTAATCGTTCTGTGTGTCTGTTTGTCTGTGTTTCTATTCTCGCACTACAGGCAACGAGGCGGCTTATGAGCGATACCAACAGCTTTAGGGGCTAGAAAAAGAAAATGGCGACTTTGCTGAAACGACTGCGTTCGAGAGCGACAAACTGACACGGTCGCGGAGAGCGTTGCGTGGCCCAACCCATCAATAAGCGGTGCGCATGCGTATATTACACGCGATCAACGCAATATGCTGGCTTGATCCGCTTGCTCTGTGTACCTTGGAGGCACAATAAGCCACAGCGAAGGGTGTGTATCGACCCAGTGTCAGACTTATTTATTATCATAAACCAGTAGATAAACTAAACTTACTAGTTGACTGTGAGACAGACGATCCTGACATCGTCGTCTCCGTCTCCTCTGAGAGTATCATCTCCTTATAAAATGGTCGTGACAATGTACTGGCTGTTTTGTATTGAGAAAGACATGACGCAGCATAAAATTCATTTAGACATCAATCACCTTCAACAAACAAACTAACCAATTGATGGTGAGGAAGCTGATCGTCTTGACATTATCTTCTCAGTTTCCTTAGAGGCTTTCCCTCCCAGTGACCCTAAGGAAAAATCGATTTGTTATTGCTTCAAGATACACAGAGCGAGTGGACCCGGTCGAGGTGTGCCTGTGCTAATTAGCATATTGGCTTGTTGACTAACCTGACAGTCTTTCTTTATGTCCAGTGAAAGGTTTAACAACAGTACTCATCTCCCTTTCTTCGTCACTTGAATCAGCTATAAGATTATGAGAAAAATCACACAAACCACATCATAAACCAGTAGATAAACATAAACTAACTAGTTGACTGTGAGACAGACGATCCTGACATCGTCGTCTCCGTCTCCTCTGAGAGTTTAATCTTCTTATAAAGTGGTTCTGACAATGTACCTGTTTGTATTGAGAAAGATATGACATGCAGCATTTAGACAGCAATCACCTTCAACAAACAAACTAACCAGTTGACAGTGAGGAAAATGATTGTCTTGACCTCATCTTCTCAGTTCCCTTAGAGGCTTTCCTTTCCACTGACCCTAAGGAAAAATCTATGTATGATTAGGTTCTCTGCCAAGTACATCTACTCACACAACCTTAAAGGCAGGGAACCTTGAGATGCCTGAGTAGCAATTTCATAAGTGATTATTATAGCATTTCATCACTCAAGTAAGCTCACCTCTGGATGCCTAAGCATGTCACAATAAATGATAAAACGTGTTCTTGCCATCAGAGGACGCGTCGGAGGGAGCATTTCTTGTGTCATCAGAGGACGCATCGGAGGGAGCATTTCTTGTGTCATCAGAGGACGCGTCGGAGGGAGCATTTCTTGTGTCTCAGTTTGTTTCCGTTTTTGAAGCTGTAACAGTAATGACACTCCCTCTTCTCCTAGTGACTCATCATATATCAGCTCCAGCTCCTCTAGTGATGAGTTATTCCCTAGACCTACGCACAATCCTCTCACTCCATCATCTCCTAATGCATTCCCTGACAAGTCCAGACATCTCAGAGTCTTGTTTTTCTCTAATGCTGCTCCTAACTCCACACCTCCACTGCTGCCAATATCACACCTGCGAAGATGCAGTCTCTCTAGTGAACTGTTTGTCTTTAGCATTGTTGCCATGGCAACAGCACCTTCTGATCCAATCTGGTTATTACTCAAGTCCAACTCTCTCAGTGTATGGTTGTCACTCAGTCCACTCACTACTTCTCCTACTCCATCACTAGTCAGACTACAGTAATTGAGGTCCAACTTCTCTATCTGACAGTGTATTGGGTGTCTCAGTAGCTGTCCCAGACACACACAGTGAGATGTAGTCAAGTGACAGTGGCTCACAATCAGTTTCCTCATTGAGCTGTTGGCACTCAGAGCTTTACATAATGAGTCAATACTCTCCACTGATATCTCTTTCTCTCCAATCCCCAGCTCCTCCAGACTTGTGGTGGAGCGAATATAGCTTGATAGACATTGGAAGTCAGGATCACTGATACCAGTTCTGGTCATATGCAGTTTTCTCAGTTTGCTGCTGTGTAGAGATGACACCAGCTGGACAGCACCTCCACATCCAATACCTGAGTTAGACCTCAGGTCCAGTGTCTCGAGACATGGCATCCTCTGAACACCTTCAGCTAGCAGCTCACACCCTCTTCTGTCCAGCTTGTTATTAAAGAGATTCAGGTCATTGACATGTTGTAGTAATGAGTTAGGAATAGTCAGAAAATGTCCTACACCTTCAGCTGTGATGGACCCACTAATGAATGAAGCTGAAACCAATTGACTGGAGATGCCAGTCTCGGGCAGTTGATGATTGCAGCCTTTACTGAGAAACTCCATTGCCACATCATCAACATAGAAGAGGACAATCTTCAATGTACAGTTGGAGTGAGCTAGACAGTATCCTGCTGCAAAGTAGTCTGTGGTAGTTGCAGAGTAGGACAGGCTCAGTCTTCTCCAACCAGAGCCCAGGACACTTGTAAGGAGAGACTGGTTCTGGGACTCATACAGCCACCTGCACATGGTGGCGTCATCTCTCCTCAGCAGGACTGAGAGAAAGCCTACTGGAAATGGCTCTAGCTTAGTGATCCCTGCCAGGAATTGGAATGTCGTTTTATATTGTGTTGCCTCATAATAGGACCTGCCATATCTAGCCACAACCATTCTCAGACACTTTGTGTCATGATAGTCATCAGTTGCTGAGGCTGTAGATGTGAGAGGTGAAGAGCTGCTAGGTACTCCTGGACTGTGTAGTGCAGGAAATTGTAGGAGACTCTGTCTTCTCCCTCGTCGTAAACCTGAGGGACAGTCTGCAGGAGACCCAGGGTGGACACTCCTTCAGGAAGACTGGAGAATACTATCATCTGCTGGGACACTCCTTCGTAAGCCAGGCCACACAGTCGCTTCAAGTCCCCCAGCACTCTCTCTGGTAGATCAGCCAGTGTCTTCACTTTGATGTTCATGTGGCAGTACTCCGGGTGCTCTGAGAGGTGTTGTTCCAGTCTCATGAGGACGTAGGCAGAGTAGAGTCCAGTGACGGTGGTCGGAGGATTGTGTGGGGCAGAATTGAACACTTGTTCTACAATGGCAGCACTGACTGGGGTGTACATGGCTGCACGTATCATGGGATTGGACTCAATGAACTCTGAAAAGTCGAATCCGGAATCAAAACTTGTCTGAGATTGGATGGCAACAATCGTTGGTATGATTTTATTCTCAACTTCCTCCTTTGCCAGTGCCAGTAGCTCTGTGTGCTGTGATAGTCTGTCTCCTATTGTCTCCAGCAGACCTCCAGTGGCCCACGGTCGGCTTGTGATGAAGATGGTGGCAGCAGGTAGCTGGATGCCTCGGATCAGTTCAGTAAAGAGAGAGTCTGACCTCAGATCAGTAGGCAACTCGTCCCAGGCCTCCAGCCAAATCAGACATCCCGCACCACCACTCTCTGCAACTCTTCTGTTCACTTCCTCTCTCACTTGTCCTCTGCTGTGTCGGAAGAGGTCGGGGAGGGAGCTGATTTGTCTGATGTTGCCGTCTCTGAGGGGCAGCAGTAGAACAGTGGAGTAGGACCTGCAGCAGCTTGCCCTCTGCCCACTGCCGACACTGGTGCCAGGCAAACGTGGTCTTGCCGACTCCCGGAGCCCCTTCTATCAGGACCACCTGTGGCCGAGAGCCATCCCCCATCACTCCCAGCCGACTCAACTCCATGGCCGTCTTCTTGTAGACCACGTCGTCCATGTCTCCCCGCAGGCTCTCTCTAGTGAACCTGTCCATGTCTGATGGGGAGAGGCTCTGTTTCTCAATCCTGGCCAGACGGAATGGGAGCAGGGGTTTTGGTTTGGAGTCAGAGAGAGGCGTGAGGGGGCTCCTGGATGTGTACAGCTGCTTCAAGAGAGATGTGTATTGCAGTAGTGGAGCCTCATAGCAGACTACACCATCCACTGTAATGCTCTCTATCTCCATGTCTGCAAACTCCCTCAGCTCAGTTTTTCTGATTACTGTCTGCAACTGGGTTACTAGAGAAGAAGTGATGGGGTATGTCACTGCTAAACAACTTTCGCTGGCTTTTTCAAGGACAAGGATAAACTTTGGTAAGAGCAGCTTAGTGGCTAGTCTCTCCTTTAGATTTTCGAGGTCTTCAAGTGTGCATGTCTCCCAGTCCTTTTTGGTTTTGAGTTCAATAAATTTTTGAAGACCTTCCACAGGAGGTTGACATTTGTGTTTTTGCCAGCACTGTATGAAGTCACGCAGCTGCGTGTGTTTAAAGAATGTGCTGATTTTAACCTTGTACTCATCCATTCTTCTTTGTAGCTCTTTGTTTTTGAACTTGTCCAAAATATGTTGCAGAAGGCCGTAATTGAGAAAGTTCAGGTAGTAGTTGAGTTCCACCAATATATCAATGACAGTGTGCTTGTTTTTAATAATCTCCTTCAGATAGTCCATGTGGTGTTCAACCTCTCCAACTCTGAGTGAAGTCAGTCTGTATTTGAAGGTGTCCACTGGCTGTGTCATCACCGACTCACACACGTCATCTTTCAGCTCTAGAAACTCTCTTTCGAGGGATTCCATTTCCGACTTGACTTTTGAAAAGGTATAAAACTCTCTGCCAATTTTGTTATCCATCTTTCCGTTATCATTGCTGGTATCTGTTGCATTGTCCTGACTGCAGTAGGATACTTTGATCCTCTCTGCTAGTGTCTTCTTGTTTATAGCAGGAGAGGAGAGAGCATCCACCACTCTCTGCCAGGTGGGAGGAGAGGGAACATCTTTGGTGAGCCAGTCTGATAACATTTGTAGTAAGCAAGTGTCGGGATTGTTCTGGTATTGAGTCTGAATAGCATCAAGATCAGTGTTGACATTCTTAGCTGAACTCCGAGATCATACCACTTGGCCCTCACTTCATACAGTTCGTTAACAAGAGTTGCAAGGTCCTCTTGAGCTATTGTTTCTGTGAACATATGCAGTGTTTCTCAATATGTACATCTTAAAACATGAATGTGTGGTACTTACCAGGGCCAGGGTTTCGCTCCACGTCTCCAGCCATCATGAGCAGCATCTGAGTCACAAACACTATCATTGTCACCTCACTCAGACCAGGCCTCTTTCTGTTGGAGAACAGCAGAGACATTAGGTAGCCCACACCCTCTGCCACTGTCTTCTTGCTGAACTTCCTGTACACCAGCCATGCCCAGCACTGGAGGCACCTCTTCAACAATGACAGAGACTGTCCCACATACAACAGAGCCTCACACACACAAACACAGACACACTTCATCAGTTCCTTGACAGTTTCAAGAACGACATTGATGACTCTTTCTGTCCTTTCATCTGACGAAGGTTTGCCTGCAATTCAAGTAGAGGGTAGTGAAGATAGAAAATATGAGAAAACACACAGACTCACAACCGCTGCCGTGGTGCCAGGGATGTTTCCCAGAGAGTGAGAGTTGTGTGAGAGGTGGTAGGAGTATCATGGAGCACACTTGTACTGGACCAAACACTGCTCTGGTCCACACACAATCTGAGCCAACTGCCTCTTCTGAGGTTGAACCGGAACGCCATTCACCACTGCCAGCTCCACTGGTATCTGATAGAGAAAAGGAGAGAGACACACATCAAACACACTCTTCATTGTCTGCAGTCAGTTTTCCCCACTGACCGTGATAGTGGAGTTGGAGTATGTGTTGACACAGTAGGATCAGGAGTTGAGACACAAGTGACGTGGCCAGCACAGCACTGAGCCTTGCTTTCATTGCCAGCACCCGAGTCTTTCCCCTGATAGCCGACTGACAGACACGCTCACTGCCTTCCTTCACCATCTCTTCCGTCTTCTCCTGTGCCTGCTCCAGACCAGACCGGACAAGCTGTGCTATGGTCACCAACAGAAACACACATCCTTTGTAGGCCACAGGATCGCTGGCCTTCAACCACTTGTTCCAGTGGGGACCAATGGGGCTCCGTGGCTTGGGAGCTGCAGACCTAGCCATTGCCCCTACAGCTGCCCTCCACTGTTCCGTACTCACTGGCATGACTCTCAGTGGGGGAGTGGAGGTGGTGTTCCAGTAAAAGACAAGATAAGATGTTCAAAAAAGGGAAAAAAAGTGGGAGGACAAGTAGGACAAGTAGTGGGAGGACAAGTAGGTCTGTGCTCAGAAGTTGAAGTGAAGAAAATAGGATTTTGTTTGAAGATTGAAGAAAGCAGAGGTTCGTTGTGTACAATATCGAAAGCACAAATCCCTGCGAAAAGGCAAAAAGGAGAGACAAAACTGTTCAGTAAATGTTGAGATATATTCAGCATTGTAAATAAGAGGGTTATCCCATTATACTCCACCTCTCACTCGTGCAGTAGCTACTCCCAAAATACTTCTCACTATACTCTGATAAAGTAGCTAAGCACTGTGTGTAGTGTGTGTTGCGCATTCTAATGATAATTATGCATAACTTATTTTCAGATTTTTGTGCGAAATTGTACCATTGCGCGGAATATGTAATTATGCGACCACTGTGACAAAGGCAAAAACTGTCTGTTCTATGATTTCTGATCCTTTTCCTGTCCTACCTGCCACACCCCTTACTGCTCTGCTTTTACCACACCCCTTACTGCTCTGCTTTTTACTCTCAGTCATTTACACTGGCCACAGTCTCCCACTATCGTTTCCACATCACACACTGATGTAAAGCCATGCTTTGCAACATCTGTATAGGTTCCGTAAAATTTCCCGTTTTTTTTTGTAACTTTTCCGTCACATTCTAACCTGACATTTGTTGCAATACCTGCCACACCACTAACTACTAATTTCAATTTCTTCCAGGAGTGTATTAAACAAAAACACCCAGATAAATTTGTAGGTAATGGTGAAGATATTATAGCTTGTAGTGAACATGCCTGATAACAATCTGACAACACAACAAAACAGGGAGTCAAATTTAAAGTTGCTGGGATTCTGGAAATACTAGATTGGTACATCTAACAACCTGTAGCCATCTACGGAAAAGGTAACACTAGTTCTGTAGCTCAGTGGTTAGCATACTGGACCCCCAGTAACTACAACCGAGTTGGACCAGATTGGTGTATAGGAACTGATGATGCTCTATTCCAGGATTTGCTCACATCCTCTGAGGCTGTTAATATCGGCCTCAGAATAAACATCTTGGAATTTACATTCATCTTTGTACATTTGTACTAGACAAATGTACTAGCTACGCTGCAATGTGTTATGAATATTGATAAGTATTCACATCACAAGTATTGGTATCATTATGAATATTTCACTACTTCCAACATTTCATCATCATCATTGGCATGCATTGTTTGCTACAGACCTAATATGGGAATGGGGAGAAATAGATGTGGTTTGGGTAGGTTTCCTTTGATTATATCTCAGTTTGTTATTTGAAGATTGAGATCGTAGGATGTTCTTGACGAAACCAAAACCCAATATCAACAATCGAGATAGTCTTCACTAGTTCATACCTAAGATGAACCATTGTCAAATTTGCTTGATTTGGAGTATTATTGCCTGAAAATGCTGTGTCCATTCAAAATGTATAGGACTGAGAATGGTTGAATGGACATGCTTCTCCCCTAGAGGATGGAGCATCTGGGCACGACAGTGGACCAGATTATTGCCGCGGTAGCTATGTACAAACGAAGGCGAATGCACTAGTTACCACACATGATTGTGGATCAGCCACGGAGAGGACTACTTGTTATTCCTAGACTAAAAGACACTTTGATCGGACAGCAGCCAAGTCTCCCAGCGGCCCCTCATGCAGAGCAGGTAAAAATGGGCGTGGCGCGCATGCGATCCGCCGTGCCCGTTCCGTTTTCTTTGCTCTATCCGTGTATCTGGGCAATATCTCTAGTTCATACTGTTCAATTATGATACTTTAAACGCTTCTGTGGTGTTCAGTAACTTCACACAGACCCAAACAAAAGGAAAATAGACGCACACAACTCACCGTACACAAGAAAGGGCGGTGCTTTTCTTGCGTAAAGAGATTCAATACGCATGCGTCTACAAATTACGTAATCCTTGGATGACCGTCGTCACAAATCGGGCAGTGTAGTGGAGACGGAGCTAAAAGAGGTCTTTCACTGCTGGGAGCGAGGCTGATTCATGAGCAGAATACCCGAGGAGGTAGGTGCAGTAGCGAGAGAGCTGTCGAGCGTCAAGCCTTACCTCTGTCAGGCGAGAAAGAGAGAGCCCCAGTTCTCGTTCTAGGTGGTAGGGTCTCGCTAGAGCTGGTGGAGAACTGGTGTACCCTGCACGGTCGTTAGTTGCGCGGCCTCTTCCTCTACCTTCTCTCTCGTCCGTGGTTGTCGTCCTGGTGCGTTGCGAGTGTGGAGGTTGACAAGCCACGCCCACGTACAGGTTTCACTAACTGGGAAGACAGAGAATGCAGCTCTATAGCAAGAATTGTCTATGGTGTAGTTGGATTGTTAGCTTTGCCTTAGCCTTGCACAATCATTTCTGTTCTACATGCTACCGGCTCTTTCTTCCTTGGAAAAGAGAGTTGTCATGTGTGCTTTGCCTTGTGACTTTGTTGCTGTTTACATACTCTTCCATGTTACTAAACCTCTCCTTTCTCCCTCTCCCTCCTTCCCTGTAATCTCCCTCTAGAGGTTGCATGATTGAGAGACAGTGAGAGATGGCAAGTGAGGAAGGAGAGATGTCCACCATTTCAGCTCATGATCTGGCCAGAGAGATTCACTCCAACCAGGTACAGTACTCCACCACCATCTCCACTCATGTACTCCATTTACCACTGCACCAGCCTTCTCTCAACCAGAGTCACCAACAGAATCTCACTTATCCAGACTTTACTGTTATATACATTAGACTCTCGCGTGCTATTAACATAATGCACAGACACGGAGATGCCTAAATAGAAAAAGTGCATGATTTTGTGTTAAGATGTGTGTGATTCATTTTCATGGCTGGCATTAGAACCCCAAGGAAGTGGCTTGGTGTAAATATTTCCGACTTGTTAACATTTTGCTCCCCAAGCCACCATACCCTCTTTCCTCTATGTTGTATTGTAGTCAATGACCATGATAATGTGTTCCTCCCATGTCACAGGACTGCGTGGTGTTGTTGGACTGCAGACCTGTCTTCTCCTTCAGTTCCTGCCACATCTCTGGGGCCGTCAACATCAATCTCGCCTCCGTCATGAGGAAGAGATTCATGGCCGGGAAGATTGGTCTCCCTGACCTCATATCATCTCCCCACTGCAAGACTCTGCTCCAGGTGACCTCCACATGTACATAGTACACCACTACATACACGTCCGGTAATACCAACTAATGTATGATTCATGTGCAATTTTTAAGTGGTTTTGTTAAAATTGTGACCTGTAAATACTGTATATACATGTGTTTTCCAACACCTTTCTATCTATCTAATCTATGTACTGTGTGTATGTGTGTGTGTCTTTTCCTTTCACTGACAGTTCCCATAGTAAACTGACAGCCTCCCTATACATACATACACAATTGACAGTACAGGTGTGTATGTGTGTGTACTAGTGTGGTTAGTTGTGAGTAACTGGGCCTTCAATTCACCATCTGGGTTTTGGTAGGGAGACTACATTAGATCTTACTCCCAATGAACATTTTACAGTACTGTTGTTAGTCCCAGTATAAGAAGTGCCTCCCGATAGAGATTGGTTATGTTAATGATCTCTCTCTCTCTCTCTCTCTCTCTCTCTCAGAACGGAGGCTCGGGGAAGGTGGTGGTATACGATGAATCCACAACTGACCCAAACTCTCTCTCCTCAAACACCACCGCCCACCTCGTCATTATGGCTCTCAGCAAGATGGGCAACACTCCACTACTACTCAAAGGTCTCTCTCTCCTCCTTTCTTCTCTCCTCCCTTCTTCTCTCCAGGCTTTGTGTTTTTTGTTCAAGCATCGCTTTGGACGAGAGCCTGGGTTTCAAAGCTTAGCTTTTACTTTGTGTCAATGTCCCACACTGCTGTTCCTCTCCTCTTCCTTCTCTTTCTCCTCTTTCTCCTCTTTTCCTGCCTCAACCAGTTCTCTTTCCTCTCTCTCTCCCTTTCTGTTTTATTTTGCTAATACATTTCCTTTCTCTGTGCCCCTCTCCCCTTTATCTCCCCTTTTTCTTTCTTTGTTTCCAAATTCATTTCACTCCAAGTTTCCCATTTGTCTATTGTTGTGTTGTGTTGGGGTGTGTACTGCAGGAGGTATCTGTGAGTTTGGGGTACTCCACCCCAGTCTGTGTGAGGTCAGTGTTACTCCAGTACAGAGGGCCATCTCTGCTGGACCTAGAGCCACCACTCCAGGTAAGAGAGGGAGGGAGGGAGGGAGAGAGAGTATAGTGTTGTAAGAAAGTATTGGTTGAGTAATCAGGTCTTTGGGATTTCTTTTTCACTGGAAATTGTTCTGTACATACAGTAGTGTATGTACATGTATGTAGTACTCTTCACTCCATTGTTTCAGCTACAGTTGTGATGTACTGATACATGTACATACTAATTGTACTTCTTACCTACTATGACATAATCCCCTGTATGGCAAGGCTTAGGCTGTGGTAAAAGCGCGCCTCGCTACTTCAGGATAGCGTACGGCCATAACTAGAAAAAGTGGAGTGGCACACGCGCGCGAACGGCTAAACAGTGAACGGCTGAACGGTGGAACGGCGTTTCTCCGTTTCCGTTTTCCGTTTCTCCGTTCGAACGCCGTTCAACGGTTGAACGGTGAACGATTTTGGAAAACGTTTTTTTGACTTCTACTGTACTATGACATAATCCCCTGTATGTACATGTATAAACATATATTGTATAATACACAATATTGGTGGCTATGTAATTGTGAGAGTTTTCAAAGTCGAGCACGGTTGACCTTTGACCTGCCGTGTCGTGACACTCGAGACATCTCTGATGGCCACGCCCCTTTCCCCACTGACCCTGACCTTTTGTACCCTCTGTCAGATTGTGACCTCGGAGCCAGAGTGGTGAGTGAGGGATGAGGAAATGAGCCGAAGGTGAGCTCTGCAATCTGATTGGTCGACTGGTCTCCAGCGGAGCACACGTCACTCTGTACTGTGTTTTGATGCTCGAGACTGTTGCCATGGATACTGTCACATGACGTTGTGCAATGTCTATCAAATTTTTGTTGTGTGGACTTTTTTGACATAGAATTTAAAACCCTGTGGTACTTTTTGTTGAGAGAGAAACCAAATTTTACTGTCTCGAAAGTTCTGTTCACAGCATGTCATATGTGTCTACTGACAATTCCTGTGGGAGGTATTTCTGCTCATTATTGTGTTATTTAGAACCTCTTGGGGTGAAGAACGAGACAACCGCTGATTTACATTCTTCTTTCTCCTCCCTCCCTTCCCTACCTCCCTCCCTCTCTCTCTCTCTCTCTCTCTCTCTCTCTCTCTCTGTCTCCTCAGGTCAGAGGGACCAGGCTCTAGACTGGAAGACTGCTCCTCCTGTCTTTATTCTCTCTTTCCTGGTCCTGGGAAGCCAGAAAGACGCACACTGCAAACAGGTTATCTTGTATATACATGTGTATGTATGCACACATTCCTGTCAACCATTCAGAAATCCTTCCTACTGTGAATATGTGTGTGTATGACAATTTTGAAAAGGCACCAATCCACCATTGCCTGGCTATGCAGTCAAGGTGTGGCTACAGTACAAAGTTAGTGCTGCTGATGAGATATCTACATAGTACATGTATGCATATCAAGTACTGTAGTCATTTGGTACGAAATCTCAGTCGGTGACCAAAGTTTTGGAGTTAAGGAGCGTCGTGCCTGCCAACCCTTAAAGGGAATGTATCCTAGAAACTGTTTCTGAAACGTAAACATACAACTACACATTCTTCCACTGGGCACTATTTGTCTTTTTGCAACATTTCTATGAGTTTAGCTCCTGTTACTATTGCCACATTCTGACACTCTCCCCTCCCCTCCCCCTGTCTTTGTCACTGCAGGTACTACAGGAGTTTGGAGTGAAGTACATTCTCAACGTGACGACAAAGTGTCCCAACTACCACGAGGAGGACAAGGAGTTTGAGTACAAGAGAATAGCAGTCACTGACACCGGGACACAGAAACTCTCCCAACACTTTAGAGAGGCCTTTGAGTATTGCGTGAGCGTCTGAGGGAGGCAGGCGAGGGAGGAGGAGAGGAGGTGTGGGTAAAGCCTGCATTGCATCGAGCTCTTATATAAGTATGTGCATCAGTGTGTGTTAAAATTTTACGTATACTTGGAAAAACACAACGAATAATATTATGTATTTGAGCAAAAGAATCACCTTTTGGCTGTGATATAATACTTACAGAAAAGATGTGTGCTCTCACAGCCAAACATACGGAAGATGCCAGCAAGCAAGTGTGTTGGACATGAGCCACTGAGTGCACAGTGACGCAATACTGCACGTACTCTGAAACTGAACTCTGCAAAAATGCTGCTGATCGTAAAACAAAATTGTTGTGACACGCTTGTGCTTACAAACCATGCTCTTGGGCTGTTGTGAGCAAGCCCTCGTAATTCATGGTGCTTTATTGCGCAACTATTACGTAATGTTAGGGAGATACTGTATAGCTGATTGCTGTAAGTGTTTATCTGTAAGTCTGCCTGCACTACTACGCAACTACAGGTATATCTAGAGCATGTACAAAAGCGCTACGATAGAGGCGCCCACATAGGGAAACATTTGCACGGCAGATAATCACTGAGACCAAGTTCGGGAAGGCTCGCTTACCGTGACTGGCAATCTGTCACAAGAAAAACCATTTCGTTGTTAATTTCAAAGAGACTGCTTTCACCGATTGGTCTACTTTCTTCCCTCTCTTTCCCTCCCTTCAGAGCTGGCTCGGACGGGTGGACTCGTGTGTCCGATCCGCTGCACTTGCAAAACCACGGCCTAAACCCCACCCTTGGTAACAAAAGGTCATCTTCTACATTTTCCACAATCCTGCCGAACACACTTGAAGTGACAGTGCAGGTTAAAAACAGACCTGAACGTCAAAAAATGCAGCTTACATACAAAATTCAAATGTTTAAAAACTGCCCTGGAAGAATGTTCCAGAAATCCGTCTGTTTTCATGTTCACAAATCCTCAAAAAGTGGGTTGGCATTACTCTCTCAAATACATTGCAACATCAAACTGAGGAGCAAGCACAATGAATAGTGCAAGGTGCACAAGCATAGTTAACAAAAGTTTGACTCCAACCAATTGCAGACGTTCGCACGGACTAATCCAATTGTGCAATCATTAGTTTTGACTTCCAAGAAAACCAAAAAAGCATCCCTGAAGCTGTAGCTGAGGCAGGAGAGGGTGTGTAGTTCATTGACTGCTCTCCTCTGTGTGTGTGTGGACTGTCTGTGTCTGTAGGTGTGGAAACCACCATCTGGTGATGGGGACACCTTCCTGGTTCAGGATGTCAGTTCCCAAATTACCAGGAGATGGGGAGTCCCGCAGCTCCTTGGTCTGGGAAAAACCAAGTTTTCACAGGCTTCTTGTTGTTCTGTCCCATTTGTCACTGGAAGGAATACGAGTGTGAACCCTGATGTAGTGAAAGACAAAGAAATGCCTGTTTCTCTTCAACTTTAGAATTCTTGAGTGGAGAAAAAGCCATGATTATGGATTCGAATCTTCTTTTGTGTGTTGTTACTTTTAATGGGCACATTGCCTAGCTTACCTTGGATGTAAACCAATTGTCGGTTCCAAACAGATTTGTGCCAATTTTACTGTAAAAAGGGCATACGTTTTTGACGTTGTGTTGAATGTGTGTGTTGTGTCTGCACAGATTCTCTCTTT